CGAACCGAACACTGATTTTGGTAATAAAATTCAATGATTTGCAAGCGTTGCTCGTTAGTAAGTCTATTCATGATGAAATTTCAAAGCATACTGAGCATCTTTCTCTTTGACACCATGTCTGAAATCCCACGTGATCTGTCAAATACTAATGCATGAAAATCCTAACCTCAAAAAAATCACCCGTTACTTGAACTCTGCCCTGTTACAATAAACTTGATAAAAATATAAAAATTTTAAAGCGAAACTAATTATTTTTTAATTCAAAGTCAAACCTTCTAAAGTTACTTAAGTTGTTTTAATGAAATGGCACAGATACATATGTGTGGGTTTATAGTTCCGAAAACTCGGCAGGTTTAATGACTCCATATATTGGTTTAGATACATAAATTTTGCGAGGCTTTTAACCAAGTATTTTGCGAAGATACGCGAGAACCTAATCATAGCATTTTGTTCAGTTCCTCAAGTTTGTTACTAAAACACGATAAGTAAATGAACAGCATGTTGTCGGGAATGTAAATTAGTTTTGCCTGCAAAATCATAAATAGGTTCTCGCGTATCTTCGCCAAATAAGTACTTTAAGTTAATAGACTCACATAGCTCATAAGATATTTATAGTTTTCTAAAAAATATTTCACGTAAATAATCGAAGAACTTCTGTCAAATATTTAGCAAAAAAATAAAAAATAAATTAACCGATCTGTACTTTACAAGCTGCAGCACCAAATCTGCAGCTCATACTTTGAGGGGATTTTTCGCCTACAGTGCAGCTACCTAGCTGGCTAAAGTATATACAAATGTGTGTGCATTAAATATGTATGCTTTTTTTTTAATGTAAATCCCAACGCTCTGAAACTGATAAGAAATTTGCACAGCTCAAGCGCTAAGACAATCGTTTTTTCCTGGAAGGCATTTGTCGCTGCGCTGCGCAAAAACACCGACAAGGAAAGATAATTAACATAGCATATTCGCTAAAGAATCCCCGTACTAGAGTAATCATTTACAAGCAAGCGTTTTACTTCGCCCTTAACGCTCACAAAGCTAAGCCTTAAAATGGTATAAAATGCAGTTCGAATGCTAAGCAAAATATCAGTCAACTTGAAACTCTTCCAACAAGCAAACATTAAATTTGCACAAATATTTTAATTTTTGGCGGGTACTAAATCGAACAATTATGAAATTTTTCGTTTTTGCATTTGTTGCTGCAATTGCAGTCATTAGCGTTGTTCAAGCATATCCACAGCAGGCACACTTTCAACATTTGGTCTACTATCCACCACCAACACCACCGCCACGTCCCATCTTAGTGCGTGTGGCACGTGAAGTGGGTGTTGGCGGCTCGTTGGCCAGCAATCCACGCGGTGGCGCTGATGCCCGCCTAGATGTGGCAAATGCTATAGGCAATCCAAATCATAACTTAATTGCCAGCGCCTTTGCTGCAGGCAACACTGATCGTGGTCCAGTGACTACTGGCGGTGCGTTGGCTTACAATAAGTGAGTATGAAATGTTGACAAATATTTTCATCACAATAAAGTGGAATTTTTCTCTCTCATTACAGCAACGGTTTGGGCGCTGCCATATCGAAGACTCACACTCCTGGCGTGCGTGATACTCTCACACAGAGCTTGAACGCTAATCTCTTTAACGATGGTACTCACAGCTTGGATGCAAATGCTTTCAAATCGCAGAATACCCTGGCCAATGGTTTCAAGTTCGATCGCAATGGTGCTGGTTTGGAGTACTCACACATCAATGGACATGGCGGCAGTTTGACTAAGAGCAACATTCCCAACTTCGGCAGCCAATTGGAATTGGGTGGTAAAGCAAATCTCTGGTCATCACCGGATCGTAATACACGTGTCGATTTGACGGGTGGCGCTTCGAAATGGACCAGTGGCCCACTGAGTGGACAGCGTGACTATTTTGGTGGTGTGGGTCTTACTCACATGTTTGGTTAAGAGAGTGTAGGATGAGGCTTAAGCCTGGTTAAATGTTCCTGATGGGGTGCTGCAATTAGAGAGTTGATGGCATAGAAATTCCTTACTTAAAAAAATATTATTTATTGCTTAATATTTATTATGTATTTGTTGCGTAATTTGTATTTGTAAAGTCTTGATACTGGTAATAAATTAGATGGTGTAACACTAAAAACAAACTTTTCAAGTGAGCTACGTAAAAAAAGTAGTAAGGATTTCTGAAGTCAGTAGACATGGATTAGAGACATGATTAAAGGTTTTATTGTTTTAATTTTGAGTTGTGTCGTTACTGCAGATGACCATCGATAAGTATTTATACTTGGTATAGGACATCAGTCTGATGGAGTAATTAATTAGGGCAACTATGTTTAAAAATTGTCCAGCAACTTTAAAATTTCGAACTTCTTTATCTCGAAAAAAAGTTCAGTTAAGTATTGAGGAATTCTAGTTTGAGTCATACTGAATGGTCAGTAAAAGGCTAACATAGACTAATAGAACGACTGTAGTATTGCCAGAAACATTTTCGACCAGTGAATCATGAATCTGCAGAAATTTTAACGAATATTGCCTTCCTTTTAGATAACTTCAGTAGATACCTTGGACCTAGGTGTTTGTAGGTACTGCACAGTGGGATTTATCCATCTTGTTCTGAAACCCAATATGGGTGGATGGTGTCCGAATAGGTAGTATATGATAGTATGTTTATTCGCGCATTAGGCAGATTCATTTCCGTCAGTATCCCTACCTCTTTCTTCATTGCCAAAACTCCCCTTTGAAAAATAGCATAGTGCTCAGGTAGGAACAGCCGACTGGTCTATGAATAATCTTAACTCATTTTGCGGTGATTTTCGCCTGCAAGTAAAAAGTCAGCTGGTGGTAGCCGGGCAGTACAGTTTTAGTGGTTTGTCTGGGTAATAGTTTCAGACTTTGGTCTACACCATTGCTCAGTGGACCCACCGCGATACTATTTCCTTTCACAACTATGCGAATTATGGATACCGGTCAACTTTTCAATAAGACTCATCGTGGGATCGGGATTGGAATGGATTGGTGCGTGCCGGGGAAAATCAAGAAAAAAAAAGTTTTCCAAGGACTCAGGCAGCATTGCCAACTGCACTTAGGATTTAGAGGAATGGGTGGGGTGGGAGTTCATTGCTGCGCTGCAAATTTACCAGACCTCTTTATCAATATTAGCAGTTTGTTGAGGGAAGGGAATGGAACTCGTCGTGCGACAAAAAATGTACCATCTAAGTTTGGAGAAGGCCGGACAGCGGTTGGGAAAATTTTCTGTACTATCTCCATCCTCCAAATAAGATGTACATAAAGGATCGTAGATAATGCCTATAGTGACCGCATGTCGGCTCCATGGATTGTGCTCCATGTGGATCACTCCTTCTTTAGTTTGAGAAGGAATTTTGGTACTACCCTGTCAGGCCTATTCAGGAAGCCCTTTGTTATTTTGCAGGTGTCAATACCACACCAACGGCTCTCACTAGTTTTATTTTTAAGGATACTTGATATACTCGATCGTTCCCGCTATGCTTGGCCCTAAAATTGCTTACGGTGCAGTTGAACGATCCAGAGAACCGCAGTTCGCCGATTCATCAGCCAGTTCGTTGCCTTGAACACCATAGTGTACTGGCCGCCACACAAGTTCAAGCTCATTCCATCTTGTAACGGAGTTCAGGCTCGTCTTATATTACAGGACTATTTTTGAAGAGATGCGAGCGGTTTCCAAAGCTTTTAGAGCAGCATGGCTGTCACTGCAGATTCTGATCGGGATTACTGCGGTGGAATTTTCCCGCTTAGTTACACACATTGGCTTCTTCTTTTAGAATCCTCAGGTGAGCCTCATGATGCCCAGAAATTATAACTCTCGCACCGCGCCTACACGGCGGAGATCTGCTCAGTAGATGCTGTTGCTCTGGCGTAACCATTGGGCACCTTAAATGGGAGGCTTTTTTATTCCATATCCACAAAAGATCATGTTACTCACAGACTTTCGTCAGATGCGCGACTAATGTCCTGAATCGTCTTCAGACATTGAACTGGGCTGCACGGTGGTCCGTGACACCATTAGAGTTTGCTCTTAAGCTTCAGGACTAACAGAAATCGAAAGGAATGAAATTGGACTCTCCCTGAGGCTTCGTTTACTTTGACTACGAGGACAGCGGAATTTCTAAGCGTGCCCTAAAAAGTATGAAGCCTTTGAAAGATGCTATTAAAATTGTCACAGAGGTTTGGCCGACCACGGGACCACTGAGGAGTTGAAACGAGTTCACTCTGAATAGCAAACATCCCGCGACAACGCCACAAAAAGAAACCGCAGTCCGCTGGCTGGCTTTTGTTCCGGTTGATTGCGCTAACAAACTATGTACTTTCAGCAGAGCAACTGGAACTGCAGTAAACGAACGAACGTAGACATCTGGATTGAGAACCAATCACGTGGCTTGAGGCAAATACATAAGTCTAAGCCTGACCTGGACGTCAGCCTCGTGCTGGAAAATCGGTTTAAGTGAGAAATCAGAACTCCACCTCCAGCTGGAAAGTCTCGCACAGGCATCGATGTCCAAACTGGAAGGAAAACTTAGTGTCAGAGTTGCTAACTGAAAGAGTGGAGTGGAAAACCGATGGACACCTCAGCAGAAAGAGGCTCAAACTAATAATCCACCATCAGAAAAGCCATTTGCCAGACTGGTGGTTGAACGAGGTCATCAGAGACTTGGGAACTTTCGAGATCTAATAAATAATTTTTTTCTATTTACCTTTTTATACATACATATATTTTTTTCAATTAAATAAATAATAAATAATAAATTTGTTAAATTATCGTATATTTAATTAAAAAATATTAACAACCTAAATTAGCACATTCCTGATGCCCTGCCCTTATTCCTCTACATTCGGTTGCACTTGCACCTCGAAATCCACATCTTCGCCAGTTGTCTGCTTCACTTGCTGCCGCACCGAATCACAAAGTCGTACAATCTCCAACTGCGTAACATCTCCCTCCTCAGCATTGTGTTTGTAGATTAAAGTATCAGGATCACTAGTGGCAATCAGTTTACCGTCGGCCAGTTTGCTATAATCCACGCCTACAGGCAAAATAGTGGTTTGCTCACTAACATCACGACGTCCGCGGCGTACCGGAATAATGCGTATGATGCGAATGCGAATTATGCGACGACGTGGTGCTGCATCTCCGGAAGAGATGAGACTGCAGAGCAGCACTCTGGCAATGGCAAGAAATATTAGTTTCATTTTCTTTTTTTTCGTTTACTAAATTTATAACCCTGGAATACTGGTGCAGTTCAAGTTGCTGACTGATTGCTGTTGTACGTTTAATTGCTGTTGATAAGCTTTGAATGAAGGGTCTTTTATACTAGCTAGGTGATGCTTATCAGTGCCATTTGTTTAAAGACAGATCAATCCATATATGAAAACGATAATGTAGTCAGGTATTTCCGAATAGTACAACTTTAGTTAAACGTATGTAGTATGTATGTATGTAGGAACGTTCATTTTCAAGATTTGCATTGCTTATCATTGCAACAATATTTGTATGTGCATATATACATATCTATGCACAGTAGGGTGGCCCAAAAATATTTGCGTGGAATAAAAGTTTAAAATTTTAAGCTCTCAAATTTTAGGATTTTTCTAAATGGAAAAAATAA